TAGGCTATGTCAGCACAGCAGCCAATCAGAAGGCAGGTCACCAACTGCCAGCCAGGTCACCAACTGCCAGTCCCCAGCTCCAGCGATCTCTTAAAGGGACCTCAACTTACAGCGACATAGTCCACTGGCTAGGCGTCCCACAGGTAGTGTAGCCTTTAAATTGAGGTACAGGACAAGCACACTGGTCCGATGATCAAAGAGCGAGAGACAAGAAAGGCGAGACTCACTAAGCCATTTATCTCTCTGCCCTTCAGTTAATCCCACATGTGTTTATCAGCCAGGATGGCACAATAAACTATCTCATGCATACTGTTGCATACTGTGGCAAAATGTAGCAATGTAGTTTACCGTTGTTATATTAAGACTGTTACCCCTGTTACACCATGCTTCGAGACAAAATTTCATTTATTTGTCATTAGAAATATTTCACAATATATAATTACATATTGTTTTTGTGATTAATCACTGCTTTAATGATCAATTTGTAACAATGAAAATACATCTGGCGTATCAGCTATTTACATGACGATTCAAAACAGTAGCAAAATTACGGTTACGAAGTAGCAACAAAAATAATTTTATGGCTGAGGGTCACCACAACATGAGGAACTATATTAAAGGGTTGCGGCATTAGGAAGGTTGAGAACCACTGAACTAGAGGGTTACAGAAATCCCCACAATACAACCTTCTGTTTTCATGTGGTAACTAGGGCGTCAATCGGTCCCTAGTTTTAAATATGATGTTTGTGGTGGTTACATAATCTGGTGTCAATTTATGAAGGGGTGGGGCCCAGCCTGTCAATCAGGTCGCAGCTTGATGACCTAATTTGGAGGCGCCACAGAGATCAATAGCTCATTGGAACCCAGATACACTTACTCCCTGTGACATTACTGACAACCAGCCTGATGAAGCTACCCTGATGCAGCCAGAGGCCTGGAGCTGGAGGAGCCACGTGGAAGCCTCTGCCAGCACTGAGATGCTTCTACTGCCACCAGATCCACAAGACTTTCCACCCACTGGCCTGTGATCGTCCTGCATTTGGCATCATTACATGTGTTAGGTGAGTCTGAAGAGGAATTTATAGATTGGTATCGGACACGTGTTACTATCAGACTTATGGACTTGATCTGGACTGGCTGCTCTTGTATATAAAGCTCTTTCTTATACACATGAGCGTCTATGAATTTGTTCCTCTAGTCAATCCAGACTAACACAGTGTTCAAATACCTTTGATAGGCGAGTGGCTGTGCTTGCCAGTAAAACTGGTTTCCAAGTTCTGGATGTTTAGGGTTGGATAGCGGTATGAAGGCAAGCGTTCCCAGGAGCCATCTTCACATTTCTTCATGAACTGGTCAAAGAGGAGCCTGAATTCTTTAATCCAGCTGGGCTTGGGGAGAGCATGGTCCTTTAGAGAGACTTCTTCGGAAGAAAACAACCTCTGAAAACCAAGACGAGACAAAGAAGCGTAATGTGAGGCGTACTGTATTTCATAACACACTTTCCTAAGATCCAAGACGTGTTCGCTGTTTTCCTTCTGCCCAGAAGCTTATTAGTTTTGAGGGGAGAGCATTTCAGGTATCACCTGGTCCAAACTCCTTGGGAGAAGTGGAGACGAAGGCAGGGCATTGCAGAATGCCACCCAGCTAGCTATCGGCAGAACCTAGTCCCAGTTTCTCATCAAACAGGAATCAAGGTCGTGTGAGCCAGGCCCGGGAGCCAAAAGCAAGATGGATAGGCATTCACCTCTGGGCAAAAAGTGCTAGCAGTGTGCTGTGGACCGGCAGCTAGAGTACAGGAAAGTGATGTTCATCTCAGATCAGGTGTTGAGGGAGGGCTTCCTCAATTCAAGTAGAAAACAGCCAGTTGGTCAAGGAACACTGTGTGCACATGCCAGAGGCATAACAGTTGTATGTGGTAGGCCAGTTATCCTCTCCCTTTGACAGATGATGAAATAAATACCTACAGGAAGTTGAGCACACCGGTTCAAGGAGAGGAGCACTGGCTGCAGAGAGGTAGGTGGGGCCTGACCGTGAGAAGGAACCTTGATACCAAGGGAACTACTTTAAATCTTCTCTCACCTTCTTGGAGGGATTTTAATCAGGGGAGTGAAATGATCAGATCTGGCCACTGGATGGAAGTGACTGGGGGTGTTCACGTTTGGAGCCAGAGTCTATTAGCGTAACCCCCGTGAGAAAGTTAGAGCATGGGACAGTCTGGGTCATTATTTGGGTTAAGCGAGTGAAGGAAGAGTAGAGGCACAAGGGCCAGCCCTAGGTTTCGGAAAGTGATTTGGGGTCATGGTAACCATAGCTCCCACCCGCAATCTTCTGCAGCACCCACACAACTACTCCCAGGCCCCAGGGATGAACTGAGATGTTTCAGGGGCCCTGGAGGCATCAAGAGATGAAAAACTACATACAGAGTGCCAAGAGGCACTAGAAAGGAAAACATTGCTTTTTCTGTGTTTTAGATGCTTCCCTTAGAAGCCCCTCAGAATTCAGTCCCAGTCAAGTAGCTTTTAAAAGATAGACGATCCTTGGGCTACAGGAGTTGCAACTGAGCAGATCCACACTCGTGTGAGTGTGCGTGTTTTAAGGTGATTTAATCATCACGTGAGCAGTTTGACTCACCAGTAAATTGTGTGCAGCAGTGAAAGGTGATCTCCTGATATTTTTTACCATGTTCAGTGCCAATACCAATAACTGTGAAGAGTACTATGGAACTAACACCCAGAGCCACTAGTGATGCTAGGGGTGCTCCCAAGAAGCAGAGGCAAGCCATGCCTTACCCAGAAACAGCTGACTTGCTTGTTATGTACCGCAGATGGAGCTTCGCAGCGCTGGCTGCCCACCATTGCAGGATAAAGGAGTCTATATAAAGGCCACTGCAAAACAAGAAAAGGGAAGGCATGAAGCTGCCAATGCCGCTGTGAGAAGACCGGGCATTTCTTGCAAAATACCTTTTTATCTTGCCTTCAAAATGCAGTTTTTAAGTGGGTGAGGTATATAATGCATATGACATACAAAATCCATGTGTTAAGGGACTGTTTGTTATTGGTAAGGCTTCTGAAGGTCAAGAGTACACTAGGGGCTGCTAGGTTTGGGGGAGTCAACTGTTCCACATGGATCTGAGGATGCAGGAGGTCTAACCTGCTCCTTCCCGAAGCCCTGCATCATTCAACTGCACACCCCGTCTGGAGGCGTGCTAACAGACACACTCGGTCACAGACAGGCACTGAGGATGGCGGCAGGAGGCGAAGAGCCATGGGTTCAGCCCCTCCCACTCGAGTTCCAGAGTCCTTTTTGTAAGAGACCAGCACCCAGCTGGGTGCTCTGGGTTTAATTTTTAAGTCTGGGATTCAGCTAAATCCAACAAACTTTTTTTTGACCATCTACTGGCTGTTCCGGCTCAGTGCCAGAGAGGGAGGATGGCGGCCCAGTCCTCAGTACATCGCAGCCACAAGTGTGAAAAATGTCACAAGAGAAGTAGATGCGGATTAAGGAGGGCCTTTCTAGGGTAACCACAAGAGTGAGGATGAAAGGGGCTGGTGTCTTACAGATGAAGCACCCTGTCTGGTAGACGAAGGCCAACGAGCTGAGGGAAACGAAGCCCTCCATGAGGCGACTTAACCCGTCACGAGTGGCACCGATACACTCCCACAGGTCAATGACCCACAGGGTGCACTGGACTGGGCAGTGCTCTGTTCTCTCATGCTCAGGCTGCCACGGGCTGGAACCTGAATTGGAGGACTGGTCAGCTCTGCCATCCTGTGAGCTTCTGATGAGCAATTGCAGAGGTCGAGAAGGGGAATCTCACGACCATCAATTACAAGGAGCCAGGAGTGGAGCGTGTCCTTTGGATCCTGCTCTGACCCTCCTTGGGCCAGGAGCCAGAGAGCAGTGACATCGGTATTGGCAAAAAGCAGCAAGAAGTTGTGGCAAAGAATCAGGAAATTGGCAGGAAATGTCAGGGCTTCTGAAGCTCCAAAGTGAGAAAGGTGAAGGCCTTGGGGAAGGAGCTTTGCTGGCAGGGTGAGGGCCCTCGCAGGCACTTGAGGGAGCTAGGTTTCCTGGTTCACAGAGCTAGAGCTGAGCACTTTTGGGATTACTGAAGTTGGGTGCCCCGGCCATGTAATCAGCAGAATTAAAAGATCTTTATAAGCGACTTGCCTGAGAGCAGGGCAGAAGCTGAAAAGAGGTGTGCTTGTGGACAAAAGAGAAAAGACTGTCTTGATCTTGAATTGTTTCTGATCCTGACATCTCTTACTTCCCTAGTAAACCTTATAATTGTGAGCCTCAGGACAAGTGGGCACGGGAACATTTCCTGGTGTGCCTCACAAATGGACTAAAGGCAGGTAGGCAAAAGGCCATCACTAGGGACCTACAGAGTCTCCTGTAAGCTTTTTAGAGCGGCTAAAGGAGGCCCTGACGACTCATTCTGCTATAGACATAGAATCCTATGAGGGACGAATCTTAATCAGGGACACGTTTCTCACACAGGATGCACCAGACATTCGCAAGAAGCTCCACAAACTAGTGCAGAAATCTGAAGGAGCTACCCTAGAGATGGTTGCTTGTGCTAATATGGGCTTTTACAACAGGGAGCAGGAAGGGGAAGTTCCCGGAAGGAGAGAAGGAAGGACATCCGGTATGTCCAGGCATTGGCTGCACTTAATAACCAACACCCGTCGAATACCTCCCAGGTTTCTCAGACCTTTGAACCAGGTACCAAGTGCTACATTTGCCGTCAGCCGGGTTATTGGGCTAGGAGCTGCCCTAACCGGAACAAGCCTCCTCGACTCCATGTTTCCACTGCACAAGCAGACCGGCCACTGGGCTGGCCTCTGTCTTAAGGCCAAAAATCCGGAGGAGGGGCGCCCACAGGCCAACGTGCAGCTGCTAACTGAGGAGGATTGAAAGCGCCTGGTCCGGATGGCCGAGCAGCAAGAGAGCTGTTACTGCTCTGGAGCCTAGGGTGAGCATCGATGTGGCAGGTAGGTCAGTACATTTCCTTTTAGATACTGGGGCCACCTATTCGTCCTTATCTCCTTCCCGGGACTCCTGGCACCCCGCACCTGCTCCATCCTGGGAGTGTCAGGAAAACCCGTAGTTAAACATTTTACTGAACCTCTCAGGTATCTATGGGATAACTTCTATTTTTCTCATAGCTTCCTAGTAGTCCCTGAATGTCCAGTTCCTCTCCTAGGCTGAGATATACTGTCCAAGCTACACACCTGCATAGTCATTGGGCCCCATCCTTGTCCCTCTACAGCTTTCCAATTGTTCCTCCCGGTGGAGGAGCCACAGATTCCCCCAAACCGTTGGAACAAGTCATATCCCCTGAAGTTTGGGACACAAGAGCCCCTGGTAAAGCTAAGTATGCTACCCCTGTGAAGATTTTCCTAAAAGATCCTACCCAGTTTCCCCATCAGCGACAGTATCCTTTGAAACCTGAAGCCATCAAAGGATTACAACCCCTTATTAGTAAGTTCCTCCAACATGGATTTTGGTCCCTAAAACTCCCCCTGTAACACCCCCAATATTACCAGTTAAAAAGAAAGACGGGTCTTATCGGCTAGTCCAAGACCCCAGGATAATAAATGAAGCAGTGATCCTACTGCACCCAGTAGTGCCAAACCCCTGTACCCTCCTAGGGGAAATAGTGAATGCTTTTACCCCGTTCCTGTGTTTACAGTGAACCAACACTCATGCCTATTCGTCCTAAGATTTCTATTTATTGCCTGTGACACTAACCTAACTTCAAGGGCACTGCCACCTCACAGTTTTACCCTTGTCTCACTTAAACTGTTCACCTGTCTGTCCGTTTGTTTATCCAGAAGTTCTCAGGTTACCAAGGCCTCTGAACCAAGTGTGCCGGCTCCAGGACCACCATCTCCTCGACCTCCTCGACCTTATCCATCCTGGGCCCTGAATGGACAGCCCCTTCCAACAGAGTAGGAAGAGTATGGACCCAAAACTCCACTTGGCCCCTTTTGTCAGCAGGAAGTAGCTAGAGATGACGTTGCCCAGTACCCCAAAGATTTGGGTCCATATGTCTTCAGGGGGGAAATGTTAGGCAGCTAGCATAGGGACTGGGGCATCTATTACACATGCTCAGAGGTTTGTGCTTCTGGCCGGGAAGGGGTGGTACACCTGGGTGGGCTGTACACCTGGGTGGGCATTACACCTGGATTGGCCCATCTAAGCCAGGTAAATTTGATTCAGCCAATGGGGTCAACCAGTATTGTCGACCACACCCCCCAACGAGCTGCTGAAAAGGCCAGAGGTTTCACTCTGGCTTTCTCTCTTTCCCAGCAGCTAATACATGATGTGGCACAGTCAGGCTGTGGTCTGGAGCGGGCAGGCCACAGTCCCGCAACTGTGCCGTGGACTCTGCCTGGCTTGTGTTCCATTTACTGTACAACCTGAAACTGCTACTATTCTCTATAAACTCACTTGGATCACAAACCAGGCTTCAGCGTGAATTCTTTCTCGCACGGAGCCAAGGAACGAGGTACATCTCTCCCCTGAGACATCTAACAGACATACCTAGCAAATCACGGTTATGATTTCACAAATGTTATTTAGGATGAAGTTTAATTTAAAGAAAAGGGGTGGCTTTAGGAAAAGGAATATAGGCAAAATGCTGTTGATAGGGGCGGAGTAGAGACCCAAAGCCTATCTGTAGACAATTGGACATCCCTCACAGAAGGGTCACAAGGAAGAGACAAGGTGCAGTATAATACTGATGAAACATACAATGTTCCTGTAGTTCTTTAATGCCCACCCCCACCCCCACTATCATGACTCCGGTTCTACCTTACAAATCCAGCTGGACCAGAGCATGTACACTGGTACAGATAAGAGCTC